TAACTTCTTTATTTGACGTCAACTTAAATCTATTGTAGATCATATTTAAAAGCACGGATCAAATTAGACATTATGCATCTATTACGTTGACAACTTGAATATAATACATTAAAAAGAAATAAACTATTAAATTAGTATTTATATATTGAATCGAAATTATGTATATAACACATAAACATGTTTAGAATCTAATCTATATATTTTAAATATGTTTTAAGCCATTGTTTTATTAATTTAATATAAGTACAAGGTAATATTTATTTAAAAATAACTTTGAATCATTTGACAATGAATATTCACATCTTTAACATTCATGATGTTTAAACTTGAAACTTCAAAATATAACAATAATTCTTTTATCGTTGATGTAACTTAATTCATGTATGTTTTAAATCAATTTTAAGCTAACATTTGAGCTGACATATAATATCCAAGTAAATCGTTAAACCGACAAAAGACTTAATTAAAATGATATTAATATTTTAAAGATTTCATTAAGATATTTTGAAGTTTGGTAGCCCATTTGAGATCTAAATATAAATTGAGAATATATGTTGCAATTAGCTCTTATTACATCGAGGATATAAAGAGTCAAATCTCGAATCCAAACAACTCAGACGATTATCTTCCGCAGGTCCATTTTCATTGCATCTGATCCAGTGCACGACTACACTGTGAGAGTGAGTGAAAGATAGGGCTTTGGTTGCACGCTGTTAATTAAGCAAAAAATGGTGAACTTCATGCTTAAGATCGCTGCCGACCTCGAAAACCTTACTAATCTCCAGCCACAGGGCGGCTGTGACGATCCCTCCTTTCCATATCTCTTCAAGGTGTCTCTCTCTCTCGCTCTCTCTTTCTTTGCTTTTTCGACTTTTATTTTCTTCGTTTGAATTGAGCTGCTGGTGTATTACTCTTATTGCTGCTTGAATCCAATACTTTATCCGTTTTAATCTTTCTTTCACTACGATTTTCAGATTTTTAGTCGAAATCTTTTTTTATTTCTATTAATTGAATTTTAGTTTTTCTTATTATAAAATGATGCTTTTAGATATTGATAATTCGCTATTTCAGCTGGATTTTCCTGGAAAAATTGCTTCCGTTTTCCTTTTTTTTTTCCCAGAAACCACTTGTCGTTTCATTTATCTTCTTTTCTACGTTATCCATTTATCGTTTCAATAATGCCTTGTTGGGACATGCAAGTTTTTGGGTTTGTAGTTTTGCAAAACCCTTTTGTTTTTGTTTGGGAAAAACGTTATTCTATGTTATGCTGAAATGGATGTTGAACCCTAAGCACCGTTTTCCCCTCTTCGATGGTAGTCAGTTATATTCTGTTCCTTCTCAATTTTATGTGTTTTTATGCGTCAGAGTTATTTCAATATCCTTTCATAATTTTGTTGAAATGTCTTCCTCTTAATTATTCGGAGCTGATCTCATTTATTTTTTTTTATAGATTTTACGTTTAACATTTATTTTTCTTCTTTCACATATGTAAAAAAGAGTCTGCATCTCTCTCACATCATGTTTTTGCAAATGCTTGCTTTCCGAGGACTTATTCCACTAATATTTGAAATCTTGGATTTGCAGCTGAAATGTGGTAGGTGTGGAGAGTTAAGTCAGGAGGAAACATGTGTGAGTTTGGGTGACACTGTTTCTCTTCTACAAGGCAAGGGAACAACCAATCTTGTTCAGAAGGTAATCTTGTATACTTATGTTGCCAGTAAATGCATTGGTTCAGCTGAAATTCATTATGATCTGCTGAATATATGTTTGTATTTGCTGAGAGTGGAAGGGGACAACATAGAATTTTTTTTCTTATAAGTAAAAGAACTTACTTCTTAGTGAATTTCTTTTAGATACTCTTTCATGTTGAATCTAACCACGCACCTGGGCTGCACATGGTGATACTAGTTCTGGATTCGGAAAAGGGAAATCAATCGATAGGTATTAGATGGTAATACTTCATAACCAACAGTTACCCAATCATATTCTTGGTTTTGGGATTCCCTATCATGTGTTCTGTGATTAGATAAAACAAGATGTATTTTCAAAATGTAAATGTTTTTCCACATGACTCCTTTTCTTTTTCTATTAGAAACTTATATACAATAGAACTTTGCATCCATTAACCTCCAAAGGTTGACGGTATGTGGCTCCTTTTCTTTTTCTCTCTAGTGCAAGTTTTGCATGAGGGAAGGAACTGTGACAATGATCCCGGGGAAAGGTCGACCACTGACTCAGGAAGACTGTGAAGAAGGAAAATTTGCACCTTTGATGCTTTTTGACTGCAGGGGTTACGAGCCTGTAGGTTTTGTATTTGCTGATGGCTGGAAGGTTGAATCTGTAAGTTTTTCTTCTTCTTCTTCTTCTTATACACTAGACAGTCTTTATTGGCTGGTAGAAGTTGACATAGCTAATCATAGCAAGGGATTTGAAATGTAATAACTTCTTACTTACAAAATTTCCAGCTCCAAGCATATTAATGCATATTCTCCGTCTTTAGAGGCCAAAATAACTAGAGTCATGGATGCAAGAGTTCAGGACTAATTGCTAGGTTGAAGTCCCTGCTTGATACCATGCATATCCTGAACGTTTCATGTATTTCATTTGATGAGTTCCCTAGTTGAGAAGCACATATTTTGGATTTCTCCACCTACTTCAGCAAGCGTATGATAACTTATCTTGCACCTGAGCTAAGGGCAATTTAAATCGTGTCTCTGTAAAACAATGCAATGGAATAAAATGTTTGTCATATTAGTAATTGCTTTATCATCATAGCGAGCTGTAGTCACAGTTACTTACAGCCATTCCAGTAATGTATTTGGTCAATGCGTTCTCATGTTAAATTACTGCAATTTCTTTGTGTAGCTGGAAGGAACAAAATTTGAAGGCATTGACTTGTCTGGAGATGAGTTTGCTGAATACGATGAGAAGGGAGAGTGCCCCGTGATGATATCCAATCTCCGTTCTACTTTTGAACCAGTGAAGTAGAGTAATACCACTCTCTTGCCTTCCACATGTTTTAGTAAAATAAAACTTACAGTTCATTGTGTATGAGGTAGAAACCATTGACTGGATTACATGTAGGCATTAAGCTATATCCTAAGGTGGTTTGATGTGAAACGTTCAGTTTGGTGCATTCCAATAGATACACTGGCAATGTTTTCATTTTGGTGCATGCCAATGGATACGTTGGCAATGTTTTCATTTGGAGCATGCCGATACATACACTGGCAATGTTTCATATGGTTTTCTTGGTTTTTAGAATTATTATAAATATATTTTATATTTGATTGAGTTGATTTTACGAGTCAACTCAAAATCAATTTGATCAGAAAAATTATTTTAAAAATCCCTTTTAAAGTATAACAAAAAATATTTTTATAATTTTTATATTATAATAAACTTTAAATGGAATAAATAAATATTATTATCTTAAAATCGAACATGTGACTAATAAATTAAAAAATATATTTTTATTACACAACTTGTAGTCATTTATTAACATTTTTTTCCAAGGCTTATACATAATTTAGGTATCTCTAAGGGGTTGTTTGGATCAGGTTATGTGAGATTATATTGGGGAATGAAATGTGATTCTCCCGTTTTGATTGCAAAGATTCCCAACCATGGTAATAAGTTATTCCCCAACATTGGTATTTTGGGGATTTCCTCATTCCCTTAGGTATTGTTATATTTTTTGCATTTTGGACTAAAATACCTTTAAATTTTTTTCAAAAATGTCAATCTTCTGTTGTTTATTAAACAAAATTCTACAAATGTTAAATTGCAAATTTATTCTTAAACTTTTTTAGATTTACAAAAAAATCCATAATTAGAATTTTATATGAAGTTCAGGGATTAAAATAAAATTTTACCCTTTCATTAAATATATTTATCTTTTTAATTTTGTAAAAAAATTATATAAATTTTATGAATTTAATTTTTTTAAAGAAAATATATAAATTAATTATAGTAAAATTATAATAGAATTCAACTTGTTAAAAAAATAAATATATAATAAGGACAATTTGGTAAAATATATATTCTAATTATTTTTTGTTCTTTTAACCAAACATTGTAATTTTACATTCATCTTAAACGAACGAAACACAATATTGCAACATTCCCAGTAATGTGTTAGGTAATGTTATATTCCGTCGATAATCTTATTTCCGTCGATAATCTTACATTCCGTGAACCAAATACACCATAATTGAATCTAAGAAATCAAGCAAACCCCTGATTTGAATAGGGGACTAAATGAGCTCTCAATTGAAAAAAAATATTACGATAAAGTGAATTTTTATTTAAAAATCGTGGATAATATGAGTGATTGTTTGTAAACTTGTTAAAGGACGTTTTCAATGATCAAGGTTACTTTAAGAGCTTATATGATCATAATTTTTCAAATAAAAATTTATTTAATCCATGATTTAAATTAATGATTTACTTGATTTTTTTAGTATAATTAAATAAATTTATTATATATATATATATATACATTAAAGAAAACAGTTTTTTCAAATACTCTGGACAAAAATGATTAATCACTTAATCAGACTAGTAAAATTAGAATATAATTTCTAACTGAACGTTTATTTTTTCGAAAAAGTATATAAAAAATTAATCATGATTTTAAAAAATAAAAAAAATTAAGCACTTAATTATGTGACCGGAATTCAATCGATTTTTTGTAGAAAATGCCTTTATGCATCTGGCATAGAACGTTTTTTCTCTAAATATAATAGAGAAATTAAAAATGATAGTTTTTATTTTGCGATATTTGGGTAAAATGACCGTATAATGAACCACCGTACAAAAGAAAAAGTGAGGTATGAGGTAGACAATCCCAACTTCAATGCTATCCCTACTCCGAGTCCCAGTATGTCAAATTGCTACTTTAAGGCGAGAATGTCTTCTCGACTCACCTATAAACGTAGCCATCCATTCCTAAACCCAGCTTACCTATATGTAAACAACGCCCCCACAACAACACCCCTGCTTCACTCTCCAACCTTCAAACCCCCTCCCTTCCTTTCTCTTTCTCTGTGTTAGAGACAGTGACATTCTAATCAACTTCCCCTCAACTCTCTTTATCTTTAATTTCTGCTCCAGCAAGTTTGCATGGTAATGCTTCGTTATCTTCTATTTAGAGCCAGCTTTTTCACTTTGAATTTGGCTTTAGATTCTTGTTAACAATGCTGTTTATGACACAATATTTTGCGTTGAGCTCTTGATTTTCAATTTTCAGCTTTAGGTGTTTTCTTTTTCCCTGGCAGGTGGCCTGATAGCTTGTCAGCTCTAGATCTGTTGTTCCATCATCGTTTCACTTGCTAATAAGGACTGCATTTTAAATATTTGGTAGATATTAGAAACCCCATTTTGGAATTTTCACTGAAATAATCCTGTTGGGGTTTCAGATGCAATAGCGTTTAGTTCACATCTTTTGGTTTTTGGATCTGAACTCAGGATTTTGAATTCTAGTTTTCGGGATTGTCTTTAAAGATGCAGACGAGATCTGGGTCGGTTGGGTCATTAGAGGAAGGGAAGGAGACTGTGGTTACAATTAGATCAACCCAATTTAAGTCTCCACCATTAAGGGTACTTCAATTATTCGTGTTGTATCTTGCTGTCTGTATTGCTTTCTCCATCATTAGTATATACACAATCCAGCATTTTGGAATCTATAGTGTGATAACAACTGTTAAGTCGAATTTTGTGACTTGCGACGAAGAACCGAATGATAGTTTGGATCATTGGAGGAAACCTCCATCGAGTTTGCTTCATTCTATGAACGATAAAGAGTTGTTTTGGAGGGCATCGTTTGCGACTCGAATAAAGAAGTATCCATTCAATAGATTTCCCAAGATTGCTTTTATGTTCTTGACTATAGGGCCATTGCCACTTTCTCCTCTCTGGGAGAGGTTTTTTAATGGCCACGAAGGCCTTTATTCTGTGTATATTCATTCACTGCCATCTTTCAAGGCCGAGTTTCCTCCTTCTTCGGTGTTTTATGGGAGACATATCCCGAGTCAGGTATTCTGTTCAAATCTCCTTTTATGGAATATGGTCTCTGTATATTCTTTTACATGCTAATTGTGTGTGATGGTGAGTTATTGTCTTTAATTTTGCTCTTAGCATGTTTGGATGTCTTCTGAAATAATGTTATGCAGTGTTTCTTTACTGCTGAAGAGGTATTAGCATTTACGATACCCGGACTCATACGCAAACGGAGGATGGAGTGTGATGCCCCAAATATAAGAAAAAAATTAAGTATACCGTGTTAGATTCATACACTGACATAGCCCACGTAACATTAGGTACATGTTAGACGTGTGCCGTTAGTTCGTTGCAAAAAGTTGCATAATATGGTCATGAATATTATGGACGTGCATTTGATTGTGTTTAAACTTATGCGTCATTGGCTTCCATTTGTGAATTCGTTTAATCTGGACTGAAACTTGCACTTTTGAGATCTTTCATTACACCTCTGTGGATCTGTACCATGCTTCAAATCATGGCACGGGTTTAACAACCTCATATTACAGCACACCATATTAATGGATACAATGTCAATTTGGAACTAGTTACGGGTGGCATCGACCATCAGGGTGTCAATAATTGTATGGTTTAGAGGCCTTTATGTAGTAATCTAGGGTTTCCTTGGGAACAGATAGCTGCATATTGTGTTACTAACTTGTATGAGAACTTATTGTGATTGATTTTCGCACAAGGAATAATAGTGATTGTTATGTTTTTGCTACCTCTACAGATATCCGAGTGGGGAAAGATGAGTATGTGTGATGCCGAAAGACGGCTCGTTGCCAACGCCTTGCTCGACATATCCAACGAATGGTTCATCCTCCTATCTGAATCTTGTATACCCTTATACAACTTCAGCGTCATCTACCACTACATAAAGAAATCCAGATACAGCTTTGTCGATTCATTTGATGACCCCGGACCAGTGGGTCGAGGGCGGTACAACGAGAGTATGGCTCCAGAGGTGACTCTCACCCAATGGCGTAAAGGTTCCCAGTGGTTCGAAATCAACCGAAGCCTCGCAATCAACATAGTGGAAGACATTAAATATTACCCCAAGTTTGAACGGTTCTGCCAACCAGAATGCTATGTCGACGAGCATTATTTCCCAACCATGTTAGCAATTCAAGCATCGAATCTGTTGGCAAATAGAAGCATCACATGGGTAGATTGGTCGAGGGGCGGCGCTCATCCTGCAACTTTCGGAAACGCAGACATTAGCGAAGAGTTCTTCATAAGAATCCATGAAGGCAATGAATGCAGGTATAACAATCAGCCATCTTCCATTTGTTTCCTTTTCGCCAGAAAGTTTGCTCCCGGTGCATTGGAGCCATTGTTAGAGATATCAGCCAAGGTTTTCGGTTTCTAACGTCGGTCCGAGTGATTGGAAACTATTATCTATTACTAATATAAGACTATTCAACCAAAAAGCTGATGTACATAAATTTCTCATCTTATTTGTTACTAAGAAATTTTTGACTGGAAATTTACTTGCAAAACATATTCAGAAAACATAGGGAATACAATACATGAAGAAATGTGTAAAATTTAGGGGTGTTTTGGTCGGTAGTCGAATTAAATTAGCTAAAACTGAAATAATCAAATGTCTTTAATAGCTAATCGAATTTTTTTTTTCAAATTATGTAAAACTTTAATGCTTTATTATTTACTATTTTATTCACTTATTCGGTTTAGTTATAATTTTATACATATTGCGTTAAATCATATTACTGCTAGCTATAAACATTATGTAAACATAAACCTGAAATTTGGACAAAAAATTTGCAACTAGTGATTGACTCGATCTATACCTGACAATTTTTATTTGAATCCGGAAATTTAATTCAATTAATTTAAATGTAAACTTAATTTAATTTGATCTTAAAAATTAACAATTTAAATTCAATCTCACTTAACCTTAAATCCAAAAATGATTATAACTTGGAATAACCCAAACTCGAAATGAGTTAGACTTTGAGATTATTCAACCCTAAAATTGACAGGAAACCTAAATGACAGGCTAAAATTAAGTTGAATCTAGAATAATTCAAATCCGAAATTGATATAAATCTAAAAGAAATAAAAGTTTAAATCCTGATGTTAGATTCATTGAACTGTGAATATAGTAAATAAAATTAAAAAATCATTTATACAATAAAAATTTATATTATATAATCTAAATTAATCAATTAATGAATTATATATACTCTTTAATTGGCTTAGTTCGTTAGGAAGGGAATCCATTCTCTGAGCATAATTGCTGAGATTAACGCAACATGTGCTCTACCCACCACGTACACGCCAAATTAAAAAGAATGCTTAATTGCTGGCTTAATTAACTGATGACAAAGGATAACTAAAATTGAGGAACTCATACGTGTGTGAGTAATTAAAGACCGTGTGTGTCCCAGTTAAACACCTTCATTTCAGCTTTTACCTTTCTAAGCCTCAGGTCAAAGCGGAAGTTTCTGGAATTCGTATAGATACACGTATCTTTCCCTCTGGCTTTGGCTCTTTGCAAAATACATGTCATTTTTGGTCCTTCCACGTGTTCTCCCCTGCTTGACCCACTTTCCGCTACACCATGTGCGTCCTCAATGATTCCGCGCATTAAGTTGTTTCCCGGCGGAATTGTTTCCTAAATTACGGCCGGGTTGAGATGGGTTGACCCGCCCGTCTCCACCTTTCCTCTTCTCTTCATCATTTGCGCGTTGTGAACACGAGTGAATATCAAACATCGATTGGTGGCCTAACCTTTATCGAATATAATTGGATTCGCTCAATAGTTCAATGTTTCCACTATACAGCTCGAAATGATAAAAAAAATCCAAATTATAATAATTACATGAATGGAGACAACAGAGATTCGCGCGTAACAAACAGAACGACGGCGTTTTACATCTTTCACACATCGTCATTATCACAAAATATCAGGCTGGTAATTAAGTATTTGGTCTATTGTTTATTTTAATCCCTCCATTATGCTGAAACTACATATTTTTATTCATCTACTTTAATTTAACGTGATTCAATCTCTTTATTTTTATAATTCCATTAGTATGTCTAAATAACACATTTAAGTGTTGTAGTTAACAAGATGATCTGAAAATTTTCTTTAAAAAGTCTTAAGCATTCGAGTTGATTGGATTTTCACACGATTTTCTCTACGAGATCAAATGACAATAAGAAAATCAACATCGTCATTTGAAGGTAAAAAATGATAGTATTATCAATTTTAATATACTAATAATATTATAAAATTAAAAGATTAAATTAAAAAGACTAAATCCCATATTTTTAATATAGTAAGGGGACTAAAATCAGAAATAGACCTTTTATATTTACACGCGTGTAATCATAATTAATACAATTAAGGAAACTCTTAAAACAGTGGGCCCCGTTATATAACAATCTCCAGGCTGGAAAATACGGGCAGCTGACCGACCTTCCCGTCTTTCACGCTTTATATAGCAGACCCTACCTTCATCTCCCAATATCACAAATACCTTGCAAATTTCCTGTGTTCAAACGAAAAGGAAAAAGCTTCGATTTTATTGTTTAACGTTTAAGTATTCTCATCAACAATGGCTCTCACAAAGGCTTCTGTAATGCTCGTCTTCGTTGCTGTTTGCGCACTCATGAGTTCCGCCATCGCTGCTGAAGCTCCAGCTCCGAGCCCCACCTCTGGAGCTGTCTCTTTCTCGCCGTCATTTTTCGCCGCCGTTTCTGCTGCCGCCACGGCTCTTCTTTTCGGTTCGACTCTCAGGATCTGAAGGATGTAATCTCTTGTGCTGGCGGGGGATATTGGTGGTGTAGAGATGATGCTCTGTTTTTCCGTTTTTACATATTTTAAGTTTTGTTTGGTATTTTAGATGTTGGAGTAGCAGATCTGGTGAGTGATTATATTATTATGTTAGAGAGAGATGTTAGCTATGATATTTGCTGCACAGATTTATTGATTATCGATGTTTTGGACATTAATTATTTTCACTATTATCATTGATTGATGTAATTTCTATTAGTATAGTGAAATAGTTTTTACTATATTCATTTCATTTGTTTTCTAATTTCTTGCATCTTATGCTTTGCATTTTCTTTCGTTTTCTCTTCCCCCAAACAGTATTATATTCATTCATCTCTCATGGAATTCAGAAAATATCACATATAATTCTTTCCATTTTTTATAACAAATTAAAGAGATTAACTAATTTATTTTCATATTTTTACTAAGTTTTAAATTAAAGTTTTATAGATTAAAGTTTAATAGTTCGATTTAATTTGTCCTCAAATATAATAACATTCGATGCTAGAAGTGTGTTTAAGCATTATTATTAATTTCATGAACTATAATTATTATTTTAAAAGTTATCTCATTTCATATTTGGAGTATTAGAAATTATAATTACAAAATTATATAAATTTTAATTCTAAAACAATATCAATTATTATAAAATTAAATAATTGTATAATTATATTTAAATTCTATATAATTAGACTTAATTACATTTATAGTTATATTGAATTATATACTTAATTACATTTATAGTTATATTGAATTATATAAAGTGTCATTTTAAACACGCCTTGTTAGATGTTGAAACCAAATAACTTCAGTGTACAATCAATCCGTAAACGTAATTACGTAAATCACCAAATATTGCAAGAGTAGTATCAAACATTCAAATTGGAAAACATCCTCATCGTTCCTTCTATTTGCTCTAATTAATTAGTTGGGTTCCTTTTTTTTAATTTTCTTTTATTTAAATTATATGTGTAAAATTAAGTATTTTCAAATTAGCTATAAATTAAGATAAACTCAAATTTGGACCAATAAGTAATTGCCAGTTTGCCACATACTGAAATAACATGAAGATTATTATTATTAATAATCAGGAGATAAATTCTTACAGGTAAGATTGATGTCATTTTCTTTTTTGACAGATGTCTTGTGTGGTTAAGAATGTCGATGTAAACATTGCCACCTTAATTTCTCATTTTTTTATGTTGACTCATTGTTGATTTAAGTCGGTTTAATGACCGGTAAGACAAGGGTGTTGCCATTGACCTTATTTTATGTACAGTGTTAAATTATGGGTCTTATCCTTATAATATTTTTAAAATTTGAATTTTAGTCTTTATATTTTAAATGGACAGCATTTAATCGCAAACCTATACTATTATCATGTTTTAGTCCAAATTGGTAATACTATGAGAAAATCCATCAACCGATCGTTGTGAGCTTAAAAAAAACAGACTCATAATTCACCAAATTATGAAAAAGGAATAAACCATTTTCTCTCACAATTTCCCTTCATTTGGTCCCTGAAAATTGGTACGTTTTTTTATCTAGTTCTTAAACTTGGGTTCTATCTCATTTTAATTGTAATGAGATCTAAAATTGAGGACCAAATTAAAAAGTGATTAAACTTTAAGACAAAAATAAAAATTAAAAGTGATTTCGAGAAAGAAAGAAAAAAACCAAATACGGTCAATTTCTTAAAGCAAAGAAGACGACATGGGAGTCATGCTCATATGTAAAAGTAATTTAAATGTTTTGATTTCATTGGTCCGTCAAATATAGGTGAAAATATATAACGTCATTTTCTTAGAAAACAAGTTTCGACGGAACAACCAAAGCCATCAAATTCTCACAATTTGACGATGACATGTCGAGTCTTTGGTGGACAACACCCCACCTTAAGCTTTAATCAATTGCATTCTTCCTTCTAAAGGAAATTTCTAGTCTTTCATGGAGTCACGTGAAGGGTGAAATCTCTCTCTTTTTTGGCTACAAAACTACCATTCATTCTTATCTAGCCGTGACTCACAAGCCATTGAGTCAGTGAAAAGGAGCGGTCATTGTTTTCTCTTCTTCTTTTTTTCCCGACTCATTTATTTTAGATTTCTACTTACATTCGCACTCATTCACTCCGCAATTCCCTAAAGAAAGGGCAAGATAGAGTCAAAAGGCAGAGGAAGAAGGGCTTTTCTTATTTTAAATCCAATTTTAAATTTTTTATATTTTAATTTCGTCGTTAAATTATAAGTTTCATTTTAAATCAGTCTTCATTTTTTTAATTTTATCTCTAAATTGTAATCATTATTCTAAATCAATCTCAAATTTTTGAATATTCTAAATTCTTTCTCAAATTCATCTAAACATGTAATCAGTTTTAATCATGGTTTAACTTAATTTTTTTTCAAACATATAATGATATAGTTTAGCTTAATATTTTTAGTAACTGGTGGTGATGGGTGTAGCATAAATTGATAGTCTAGGATGAAGTTAAAATGTTGAAAAGTTTGGAGAACGAAGGATAATAGTTTGAGGAAAATATTAGAATATTCAAAAGTTTGAGACTCATTTAAACTGAAACTCTTAGTTTGATGTTAAAATTAGAATGTTAAGTATAGAAATCAATTTAGAATGATGATCATA